TGCAGTGTGAACAGTGACATTTTCCTCACTGTACATGTGGCTTCTGTAATTCTTTAGATGTCAGGTTTTTCAAGATTTGCTTTGGATTTTTATGTTTTTGCAAGATACGGCTTTTAAACATCAAGAAAATTAGATCCAAAGGGGACACAACAAAGCAATAGTTATTGTCCACTTTCTAAAACTAAATAAGGTTTGAGAAAATCTTTTGTTTATTTGATTCTAAAACCTGGGATTCATGTCAGGAGAGAGTTAAGTTTACCAGTTTTGTACTGAAATGAGACTATATAAGTGACTTTAGGGTTGGTGTTGATCTATTGCTATGAAGCAGTCTTGGATGGATTGGATGGTGCAATTTTATGGCTTTCAATCTGGTTTAAATCAACAGTTTACAAAAATTTTGTCATATCATAGAATCTGCTTCTGTCTGTGAAGTTTACTCCTCCAGCCAAAGACAATGATTTACCAAAAATGAAGCATGGTGTAGACATGATGGATTATAATGAAATCTTTATTTCGCACTGAAACTTTGAAAATTTCTTCAATTTAAAACAAAATTGATTCCATGTAGTTTTTAATCATCTGTCACTTTATATGAGCAGAGGAACTCAGCTTTACCAATAACCAAAGGCATGTGTATAATGTAATATCCATCATGAAATTTGCTGAAAAAAACAATCTGTAGATACTTTCAAACTTCCCTTACGAGTAAACCCCCCTCCAATTAAAAAATGGTATTATCATTATCTGTAACTTGGGCATTAGTAAACCAATCTGTGTAGCTCTTGATTGATATATTCCTTAATATATTTTTTGTTTAACCTCACTAAAGTTTGAACTGTGTTGTTCCAGCAGATATTGATATTTACTGCAACTGGAAAAATTACGTGTGCACAACTGTCGCATATATCGATAATCTTAACTAACTCCTTGCCCGTGGTTTTCATTCTTGCACTGTGTATTAGGATACTTGTATACACCATTCACAGCTTGACTGCTAGAGGGTGAATTCATCATTTCCTGAAACAACACGTGTCGATATTCCTTTACTTTAAGAAACTTAGAAGAGGAGTAGGTCGCAAATTTTGCAACTTAGCTTGGATGAGTTAAAACTTGGTAAATAATTGTGAATATTTTATTAACTTACGGTAGTGGAGCCAATAAATTACGTTTTAGAGATAGAAATGTTTATCAATGTTATGTTGTTGCAATATATCCGCTTTAAATGTTTATCCATCAGATGCAGTCGAAGCAAATACACGAGTTAGTATTTTCCCTCCTGAAGTATCCCGCCGCGAAGGTTGGAAAGGTTCATTTCAGTAACCATGGTTATGAACACACCTCCGTCACACCTCCAGATTGCTCCAATGAGAGCTTGCGTTTAGCTTTCCCAGAATGCATACGCAATCGCTAATTCACAACTTCACTTCAAATTTCCATGTGAAACGTTAACGCGTTGTATTTCTCCTCTTATTAGCCGTAAAAGTTCTATCTTGCACTGGATGTCTTGTGCCAGCCTTTCGTAGGGTGGAGTTTTTCTCGCAAGTCTTCATGACCGACTTTCACTCATTCAGGAGAGGTAAGTACCAAGTAATTCGCAGCTTTGTCCGCGAGGAGTCGTATGAAAAGTATCCCATAGTTGGTTTTGTCAGTTAGCCACTCGCTCCTCGTTTCTTTTATCACTGCCGCGTTCTGATAAAGACTGTCAACGACGAGGTCGAAAATTGTTTTTTGAGATATTTACCGTTGATAATAATTTGTATGTTAATTCGTAGACCTTACTTTTTGTAACCGCTCCATATTTTCGCCATCCAGGGCTTCCAATAATTAAGGTTATTGTAGAAACTCTGAGATAGCCGTTTTGAGGGGTGCTGTTGGACAGTACAATGTAATACACACGTTACCCTACGAGTCAGTGCCACCGATGCATAAATCAGCCTATGTGGTGGAATGTCCACAGACATCACTAAACATGTGTGTGATAGTTGATGGTTTTCAATTCTATTGAAAAATTTCCAAGCTAGTCCAAGGTGAAAGATTTAGGAGAAATGACTGAATTAGT